TGCTATGAACGTCGAGTTGAAGGAGTGGCATTACTTTATTTCAGCCAAATTTCTCCCTCCGATCAAGATGAGTGAGGTGACGAGATAGAGTGATTTTAAACTATTTTAATACAGAAGGAAAGGTCCATAGATATTGGGAGTATCGTTAATATTTTCATTCATAACATCATTAAGGGGGGTACAATGATTGGTCTTGAGCACTCTTCAGTGATTTTTTGTTGTTTTTAAAGGTTGGGGTGAAGTATGAGTCTTGGGAGGAATAGTTCCAACCTAGCAATGACATATGAGAGGGCTTCTTATGAGAGAGGATAGAGTTCTAGATCCGCCCACTCCCGACCCCAACCTTCCTTTTCCTTCTTTACCTCCATTTCTACAAAGCAGGTCACCTAGAATGATGATATTGCAATTCTACAATGAGCATGACATGGACCAAAAGCTCAATTTTTATATTGATCAGCACCAAAGAGACTGCGAGTACCAAGTATAGGCTTCAATAAACTTGGAGAGATGAAATGGCACAGCCATAAACAAAGGGAACCTAGCACTATTCATCTTTAAGATGCACCACCATTCTGCTACTATGGAGAGATTGTCGAGCCCATGGAGGAGAATGAGGGTGAGGATGATGCTGCTGGTGAAAATTACGGCGAAGACATCTTATCCCTTCAATATGTTGACTACAGTGTTGTGGTTACTCCTTGTTGTGTGCGTGTTTTTTCTTAATGTTATTTGTGTTGAATATTTTTATGGATGTGACGCTGGAGTTATGTGCTTATGTTGTGACTAAATGAGGTCTTTATTTACTATGAACATGTGATGTGATATATATACTTACATACAACTATTCTTTTCTATTATGTGATTCATGAGATTTGATGTGTAAGAAATATGTGATGTTATTTTCTATATTTTCTTGGTTGTTTGTATCAGGGTATTTCTACATGCCTTTGCAAGTTACAAGCTATAGGTTGCAAGTTAGCAAGGGGGAGCATTTGGAGCAAATTTATCTCAATTCAATTTCAGACGAAACGGTTCCCAGCCAGAGCACTTAGGCACCAGAAAAAGCACTCATTCGATTAGGGAAACCGAGAACAAGGAAAGGAGGCACTCAAACCAGGAGAAGATTGAAGAATCGAGAAGAAAAGTCGGTGCAACAACTAGGCCCCCAAAGTAGAAATTTGGCGCCCACACTGGCGCGTGGGCGCGTAAACATATCCCTTTATGCCATTCAAGACCGAAAACTCGGAAAATTGACGCTCCAAGTTAGTGCTAAGTGCCTAGGTATCTAATACCGACTTTCAGAAATTTTAGAGGTTTAATGTCCATTTGGCAATACGATTGATGTAAAAACTTTAAAATCAATGAATTAGGGGAGCGGTCGCGATTATTTTTCCTAACGCAAAACAATGTGAGAGTGTTGAGGGGAATTTGAGAGTGTGTGTAAGAGTGTTAGGGAGAGATTAATGAGTTAATTTAACCATTTTAAGATGATGGTTGTTGTTAAGCGGAGATATATTGTAAAGGAGAATCCCTGCGGAGCAAAGCAAGAATTTATCGGGTTTGATTGTTCTTACTATTGTGAAACTTGATTTTCATAATTTTAATTGGAAATTCTATTGCATTCATTTCTCGTGCTTAGGAACTAAATTCTTCCCTCCCTTGAATTGATAATCTAAGTAACTTAGAATTATCCATGTTATGTGATTGTTAAAATCTTCTAAAATATGTTGATATGTTCACTTTGCAAGCTTCACTTACTTCCAAATTTGTCACTTAGAATGTTAAAATCTATTGTCATCAAAACGACAGAAAAAGGCTAGTGGAACAATTAAATTAACATAAAATGTTCTAGGAGAATAGAAATATTCTTACTATGATAGTGCAATTAATAGGAAAACATGAAATCTTAGGATTTTTTACCAAGTTTAGAAGACAAAATTGTAATATAAAACCCAAGAAGTTCTTATGACCTTAGAAGAGGCGAGTTGAATTGCTCCCAATTGTGGACAATTTTAGAATCAGTTGGATAACTCTAGGTTTCTTAGGACCAATTCAAGGGAGATTCTCTCCCTTGATAGAAAACACTACTCTCATTCCTTAGGATTTTAATTTTGCAAAATTAGGATTTTAGAAACTTTTAAACTCAGAAATTTTCGACTCTCTAAATTAGACCTAGGATTAGTAAACTAGAAATTTCACCTTTTTGGAAATTAACAAGTTCTCCGTGGGATTGATACACAGACTCAAAAATAAGTACTCTCTTTGATCGACACTTATACTTATGTGGTTGACGTCTGGTTCGCCACAGTGCAAATCACCCTCTTTCTAGGGTACAACTGCACACTAACATTTTTGAAAGAAATACCTCACTCCTTTGCCCCAAAACTTCTACTATTTTCCTTTCCCCCATGGACCTCTTTCTTGGCTCTTCTCATTCCACATAGGAACTACTATGGAAGAAGAGAGTTATGGGATAGAAGTGCAAGCATAAAAAGGTTACAAGAGATGTGGCCCATTTTATAAAAATGAGTAATGGAAATTCTAAATATTGACTTGTAATCAGAGATAGAGAAGGCATACATGGATGAAAGAAGTTAACAACAATTGCATATTCTTAATAAATTTGCATTTGTTGGGATCAATTTTCAAATGATTTTCTATTGTTAGTGATCATTTATGAGAGGCGTAATAACCACTATTAAAATCTCACTAGCCATGAAACGTGCGCATCATGTCACTCTGCCAAATTATGGTAGTGTTGTGCAGTCGTCTCTAGCCCAGAACAAAAACCTGATTGAAATTTCAGGATTCGATTCAACATTTCCACAATAACTACGGCATGACAGCTTACTTCTACTAGTTGTTTCTCTTATTTGTAGCTTATTAATTTTTCATTCTCTCTCACTGGAGTCGGTCATTTTTCAATGGTTCTGTTCAGCACACTCTCTTGCCCGCTAATTTCTTCCATGTTTATCGCTAGTTATCACTACTATTGGCAATTGTTTTTTGGGGAAATTTCATAAGTACCACCCAATTCTTATGTAATTACACATATCTAGCACCTAAACTTGGATTTTTACATTTAAAACACCAAACTATGTCATGCCATACCAAAAATACCACCATTTTAACTTTTAAAAGATAAAATACACATTTTTATGCATAGGTAAGGTCGTAAGTATGTAAAAATTAATATTTAGGTGTTAGATATGTAAATACATAGGAATTGAGGGTATGTACGTAAATCTTTCAATTTTTTATTACTCACAAGCTTCTTCTCCATAAAGTTTCTTGGTGTCTTTTCTGCTTGTTTCACAAGTGCCTCATCTTCACTCTCCCGCGCTTCACATCTTATCCATCTCTTAATCTCTAACTGATCTCTCAATATCACAAGCATTCTCGATTTACAAGCATTTTTTCATCACTTCATATTACATGATAAGGTCTATGCATGTCTGCAGACATACAAATACCCATTCAATTCATGATAACTCTAACTGTAAAAGCATCGCTTTCTTATGTGAATTAAAGGGAAAAAAAAGAGTATTTACATAGTACACAATTCTTATGTATTTACATCTCACGCCTAAACTTTCATATTTACACACATAACACTCAAATAATAACACATCAAAAATAACAATATTATCATTTTTCAAAAATAATGAAAAAAAAATTCATGATAGGTTTAAAGCACCAAAGTGCTATGTATGTAAATATGAAAAATTTTCGCGTGAGATATGTAAATACATAAGAATTGTCTGCAACATATGTAAATTTCCCAAAAGAAAAAAAGGATAGCATTACACATTACGCTTTAAGAAGAATTGTGATAGTTTGATCGATAGAATGGGCATGCACACACAAAGAGAAAGAGAGATTTTTCTCGAGCATACCAAATTCTACAATCTCTAGAAGCCATCAATAAGTTTCACCAAAAAATCTGAAAACTCAAAGATGAAGTGTCAACATCTTTGATAGTGCTAGTGTGATTACAAAGAACAATCACATATCTTCTGAAGTCCACTTAAAATTTCACTTTCGTCTTATTGATTTACAAATAAACATCATTGATATCACTATAAATTTTTAATAATTCATGTATCAAACTCAAAGTGATTTGAAGGGCTGGACACCACCAAAAAATACAAAAAAGAAATAAAAAAAGAAATTTCTTTTCATGCAATGGAACCCCCCACTTGGAAACTTCCATAACCGGATGATCGGCAAACTTACAGTGGCATGACATGGAGTAGTATGCCGCTAGAGAAAACAATGTTGAGAGGAATGGATGAAAAGGTGTACTTCACTTTTTAAGAGTTAAAATGGTGGTATTTTTGATGTGATATGAAATATTTGGGTGGTATAAATGTAAAAAATTAAAGTTTAGCTGTTAGATATGTAAATACATATCGATTGGGTGGTAAAGTTTAAAAATTAAAGTTTAGCTGTTAGATATGTAAATACATATCGATTGGGTGGTATGTATGTGAATGGCTCTTATTTCTTTCAGCACGTCTCAACAGATACCAAGCATAACCTGGCAAGTTAACATTCAATCAAATAAAAAAAAAATTGAAGGTTGCAAACCCATTTCTCTGGAAATCAACAGGTGGATTCAACCGCAATTATGAAAAAAATATTTCATTGATAAAAAAGTTCATGTTATACCAATAAGTACCATCTTATAAACGGCACTAACGAATATAAAGCGTCAAAAATAAAAAAAATGTTAAATAAACAGTATAAAAGTTAAAATCATCGCCATCACAATGCATGAAAAAGAAAATTAAACCGGCCTATAATAAAGTCACATTACAATAGTAATTTCAAAGCTGGTACATGCAAATCATAAATGTTGAATATAAATTGGAGAGTGGTAAATTTAAAAATGAAACCTGGAAAAACTGCATAATCAGTTAACTAACAACCGAGTTAACAGATATTGTCACAGGTTAGTAAAATGAACTTTTTGTAATAAATTCATTTTTATAACTTACAAACTAAAATGGGAACAGGCAATGCAATCTTGCCAACATCATCGTCTGCTTGCATTATCTTCTTTATTCTTGACTGAACATGACAGAGGGATTAGGAAAATCAGTTTTGAAAGTCACAGTGACATAGTATCAATACTAGTCCCATATAATAAAAAGAGCCATTTACATAGCTACCACCCACACCCAATTCCTATGTATTTACATATCTAACACTTAAACTTTACTTTTCACATTTATACCACCTGAATCTTTCATATCACGTCAACAATACCATCATTTTTACTTTCAAAAAATGAAAAACAAATTTTCATGCATAGCAACATAGTAAGGTGGCATGTATGTAAAAATTAAAGTTTAGGTGTTGGATATGTAAATACATAGAAATTGAGTGGTATGTATGTAAATCTGGCACTAAACAAAAAAAATCTACATTAGCGACATGTTGGATAAATGATAAAAATATATAGAACTAGCTTTTGAGCTTCATAGGCTAAATGTTTCCATGCAAGCATTTGTACACAACAACTACCAAAATACAAAAATTTATTAAAGCTCAAGTCTTCTTTCTAAAGATTCAAACAATCAGAACTTAAAAGAAGAAAATAAATAAATAAGTAAATGGGCATTTGCATGCATAGCACACAGCTCTATTGTATTTGCATATCTCATATCTAAACTTTCATATTTACACGCATAGCATACAAATCTTCAATATCACATCAAAGATAAAACTATTACAGCTTTTAAAAGTGAAAATACCTTTGCAAAGGTTTAAAGCACCAAAGTGCTAGGTATGTAAATATGAAAGTTTAGATGAGATGTAAGATATGGATATGTAAATACATAAGAATTGGGTGCTATGTATGTAAAATTCCCATAAATAAATAAACCATTCCATCTATTGGAAAAGCTAAAGAGTAATGCCTCTGACGCAGGACTCCATGGGTGGCCGGCTGAATCAGCCGGGACAGATTCCGGTCCAGCAGGAGGCTAAACTGGTTGGTCTGCTTAGGGCAGGAATTATCGCCCCTTTTCTCTCCTTTACGCCTAATCTAATCCCCCCTTAGAGAGGATCCCCTTCCTATTCTATCGCTTGCCTTTTACATCTCCTTCCTATTTCTATTTCTTTCCTTTTGCAATTCCTTCCTATTCCATTGTTTGTCATTTCAATCCCTTTCATATTTCTATTTTTTTCCAATTCCAATTCCCCTTTCCTATTTCTATTTATTTCCAATTCCAATTCCTTCCTATTCTATTTCTTGTCTTTTCTATCCCCTTTCCTATTTCTACTTCTTTCTAATTCCAATTCTTTCATATTCTAAACTACTAGCGACTATTATATGTGTTGTTTGAGTGCTTTAGAGTTAGTTTTTGGATTGTCTCTAATTTTCGTTTGCTGCCTTTGCAGCATTTCTCACTTCCGAGGGTTGTACCCGTAGTGAGAGGTTCTCAGACTGTAACTTGTCTGATGCGGTGATCTTCTCCAAAGGTTTGAGGGGTGTTCCGGTTGTAACTCAGCCCGCGGGGATAGCTATCATTCGTTTATTCCGGTTATGATTTGCTGCCATCTTTCTACCCTGCTGCTGTCCAGCCATCCAACCGCCTTCCAGCAGCCGGTCCTTCCATTTCCCGCTATTGTCCAGCCATCTCGCACCTTCCAGCAGTCGGTCCTTCCAGTTCCCGCTACTGTCCAACCATCTCGCCGCCTTCCAGTTCCCGCTACTGTCCAGCCATCCCACCGCCTTCCAGCAGTTGGTCCTTCCATTTCCTGCTGCTGTCCAACCATCCTGTAGCCTTCCAGCAGCTGATCCTTCCGTTTCCAGCTACTGTCCAACCGTCCGACCGCCTTACAATAGCCACTCCTTGTGTTCCAGGTGTTGTCTGGCCATTCCGCCGCCTTTCAGTAGCCAGTCCTGTTTCCAGTTGCTCTTCAACCATCCAGCTGAAGTCCAACAACCACGCCAACCTTCCAGGACCTTCCGACAGTACAGCCGCTACCAGCCAGCATACAGCAGCTTCCTTTTTGCCATCCGGATCTGCTGCCATTCTCTAGAGGTGCTCGTTTCTATCTTTTAAGTTTTTGTCATTACCTTATTTTGCAGTCATCATTGTTGCTTACTGTTTGTATGTTCCTGCGTTATTTCTATTAAAGAGTCGTCTTGTACTTTCTTTGAAGTTCAGCAATAATATTTGTTGTTTGGTTATGGTTTGGGTTAGCTCCGGTATCATTTGATATCAAAGCTAACCCAACACTAGACCTATCCTAGGGTTTTGTAGCATCCACCTCACTCACACCACCTCCACAAAAAAAAAAAAAAGAGTTACCTTTCTTTCTTCCCCTTTCCCCCCACAAAAAAAAAAAAGAGTTCTCTTTCTTTCTTCCCATTTTCATTGTTTTCCCGCCTTCAACCCACCTCCCAAACTCAAACCATAATCATGCCACCACGAAGATAAGTATCAGAACTTACCCAACACAAGATACATCAGGAAATCAGTCGTCTGCAATAGAGACAGGCTGAATGGGATGACGAGATCCAGGGAGAGAGAACCCTCGACCAAGATTGAGAGAATCGAAGGGCAAGGACTTCGACATCAACGACAAGGAATACATGCCACGCCACTTTGGGATTCATTATCAGCGGAGGCAGAGAAAGGTATCAAAGGATATAAGGGACTTCCGAGATTTCAACACCCTAAATCGACCCACATATGAAATCACAAGGACTTCGACATCAAAGTGGATCTGACAGTGTTTAAGGGAGGCATAGATTCAGAATCTTCGAATATAAGGATGTGCTAGAGGATAAGTGGGTAAACTTGGTGGTCGTCAAGTTGAAAAAGAGCACCTCCCACATATAAAATATCTTCCACCTCATTACCGCCAGGACATGTTTCTGAAACTTCACAATCTACAACAACGAGGCCTTTCAATAGAGGAGTTCACAACTCAATTTGACCACTTACAGATAATGCAAGCCGGCAGAGCCAGAAAAGCACACTGTAGCCCGGTATCTTGGGGTCCTGAAGCTCACTATTAGCAACTTGGTGTAGCTACAACCATATTGGATCCATAGAGATATTCAAACTCTAGCCCTGAAGGTGAAAAGACAACAAGAACGGAGCAGGCAGTAATCATCCTTTAAGCAGCAACTGCTAGTCACCAACAATTACCATGACCAACAAGGATATCTCAGGAGGAAGAAGAAAGCCCAAACAAAGAAATGACAAGTCGGATCAGAGTGGGAAGAAACCGAAAAAGAGTAGCTCAACCTATACAGTAATCGCCAGACAATGCTTCAAATGTCACAGATATTTGCACATCACCTCCAACTGTTTGAGCAGAGCGCGGATGCCATGGAGGAGGTTAGAGACGAGGAGGCAGCTAAGGAACAAGGTGACGCATACCATCTCCCACCAGATGAAGGAGAGGATCTAGTCATTCGACGAGTCTTACAAACCGAGGATATGAGAGATTCACAATGGTTTTGTTATATTATATTCTACTCCCGCTGCACTATGAACAGGAAGGTGAAAAGTCTCATCATCGATGGAGGGAACATTATAAATATGACAATACACTGATAGTGGAGCAATTGGGACTCATAACTCAGAGGCACACCCAGTCATATTCGCTAACAAAACTGAAGAAATAAAACAGGGTCAACATTGATAGGATGTGTCTAGTGGAGTTCTCGATTAGACGTCAGCTGCAGGATTAGATGTGGTGCGACGTGGTCACCATGAATATCTGTCGCCATTTGTTGGGGAGTCCATGACAATTTGACAATAGGACTCAGCACGATTGCTTCAAAAACACCTACTCCACCAAGGAGGGCAAGTGCATCATCCTTCTTCCTTCGGCAGAGCCCGAAATCACAGGAGCCCTTGCCAGCAGAGCAGCATCAGTGGGACCAATTTTGGTGATGACAAAGGATGAGAGGACTGAGAGATAATTGTCTGGCACGGGACAACCACGACGGAGAGCATTTCAACATATCACGGCCGATATCATACCGCCAAGGCCACCACCATCGAGGAGGTTCGGAGCCAGCTCATTTCAATAGAGGGGTCCTTGAGATAGCGGTTCGATATGGATGAATGCTCGCAAGTGGAGAAAACTCTTTCAAAATTTTGGGGAACAGTGCAGTAGACAATGGAAACTCGGTGAGGCCAGAACAACAGACGAAGAACCAGAAGCTTCGATGGGTAAAGTCGAAACTCTCCCAACCTCTTAAGATTGACGCGGGACTCCTTGGGCGGCCCTAAATCAGCCGGTACATATTCTAATCCAGCAAGAGGCTGGACCGGCCGACTGCTTAGGGCAGGAATTTCCGCCCCTTTTCCCTCCTTTATGTCTAATCTAATCCCCCTTAAAGATGATCCTCTTCCTATTCTATTGCTTGCCATCTCCATCCCCTTCCCTATTTCTATTTCTTTCCAATTCATTACTTTTCTATTGCTTGACTATTCCATCCCCTTTCTTAGTTCTATTTCTTTCCAATTTTAATTCCTTTCAATTTGATCGCTTGTTCTTTTATCACTTTTTCTATTTCTATTTCGATCCAATTCCAATACCTTCATATTCTATTGCCTGTCTTTTCTATCCTCTTTCCTACTCTACTTCTTTCCAATTCCAATTCCAATTTCTTCCTATTCTAAACTACTAGCACTCAAACTAACTGTAAAGCACTCAAATTACATGGTCTTTGCAATCTCTTAGTAAATTTTCATTATTTCATTTTCAAGATGCTTGCTCTACAGACATGCAATTAAATATGTTAGGAAGGGAGATCTATGTCAAATCCTCATCTAAATACCCTCCCAAAGGTTGGGACTTATTTGAATATTTTAATGAGTTCAAAGGTGCATGCAAGGAGAACATTGTGGTGAAGTGATCTTGTTTATGAGATTGTTCTTAGGGGTTTTCTTTGTTTCGAGACTTGAAGTAGTTAGGAATTTTTAAGGGCTTATGAGAGTTATTTCATTTTGTACACTTTTTTTGGTTTCTTTGATATGGATTGAGTCCTCTCCAAAATTCTGTGAATGTAATTTTCTTGAAGCCTAAAGGCAAGGATATTGGTGTCTTTTTTATGCCGTTTGTTTTCTTTCTTTTCTATGTTCGTTTGTGGCAAATTATACTCGCAATTGGTGATGTTTCTACAATCAACTTTGGTGCTCTCATCACAACATGCTCAATGCTCATTGACAAGTCCAACTCTTATATTGTGAAAAGCTTTAAATTTCCATGCATTGCTTGAAATATTTTACGAAGATTTACATACATACATGATACTACTCAATTCTTATGTATTTACATGTATAACAACTAAACATCAATTTTTACATATGTACCAACTTACCGATGCATGAGAATTTGTATTTCACAATTTAAAAGTTAAAATGGTGATATTTTTATATGATATGAGAGAATTGAGTGGTTTAAAGGTAAAAAATCAAAGTTTACAGGTTAGATGTTTAAATACATAAGAATTGAGTGGTGTGTATATAAAGAGAATTGGGTGGTTTAAATGTAAAAAATCAAAGTTTACAGGTTAGATATTTAAATACATAAGAATTGAGTGGTGTGTATATAAATGCACCAAAACTAGAATAAATCCTATTTATTAGAATCGAACCGTCCATAGGAGCAAGCAAGACTAGCTCAAATGATGAAGGCTTCGTATTTACTAAAAATGAAACATGCTTAAATAATAATCTCAACATATATCCAATCGACTGAAAACTAATAGAAGAGCAAGTTTTTAATTCAAAGATGGCCAGCTTCTAACCTAAAACTTTCTGTTTGGCGGCCAACTCCACCGCTTTAGAGCAGACCACCAGCAATTCGTAGCCATCTAAGCCTACCGATCAACAAAGCATGCTAAGCAAATCAATCATATAACTGCAAAACTTTCTCCCCGCACTTGAACAAAGTGAAAAGAAGTAAGAGGCAAGAACCCAAATTCCTTAGTAAAACACTGAACACAAAGAAGAACCAACAATCAAAACACTCATAAGCAGCTCAAAATTACTGAAACAAGAAGCTAACTGATCAGATGAGAAGCGACGACTCCAGATAAAAAACCCTAATAGATCTTAAACCCTAGAAATTACAGATTCTCTCGTGTCCATAGATTCCTACATGGATACTACAAAAGATTAAAAAAAAAGGAAAAAAAAGGAAAAAAAAACTATCCGCTCCTTCTTCCTCATGGATCTCAATGATGAGAAAGCAGGGATCGCAGAGAGGGCTTACCGCGGGGAACCGAGTGCCGAGCTTCTTCCTCATCTCCGATGATATCTGCCCCTCGATTGGTCTCACTCACTATCTCGCTGTCGAGCTCGGACTGATCTATTTCGATTTAACCAAATTCGAGTATAACACAACCCAATTTCTCCAGATCTCCGCACCACAATATAGCTCTGATTCCGCATGACTCGTCCACAGTTTCTTATGAGTCAAGCCAATTAGTCTAAAATCGACCAAGTCATAAAATCGATTAGAACACGAACATGATCGAGTGATCTAACACAAGTCGTCATATCGAAAATGAGGTCCAGCTAGTGGGCTTGATGTGATAGTCTATTCCATAGTGGAGCCGACCACACGGAAAAGCCGGTTTATTAAAATTATCTTTGACCATTGAGTGGAGATCCGAAAGACTCCTCACTAGAGATCGAAAATAGTAAATCGAACTGATCAACCGACCAAACTCTATCGACTAAGCTCATCCGACTGAGTTAACTCCATTGATTCTAGCCAAAAAAAGCTTAGTCAACCGAGTCAGATGGCGATTAGACAAAAAGACTGCACTTGTAAAGTACAAGAAATATCCTAGTACAAATGGGGTAAAAATCTAACATCACATTTGTACTATCTCCTATAAATATGGGGAATAAGGAAAAAAAACCTATCCGCTCCTTCTTCCTCATGGATCTCAATGATGAGAAAGCAGGGATCGCAGAGAGGGCTTACCGCGGGGAACCGAGTGCCGAGCTTCTTCCTCATCTCCGATGATATCTGCCCCTCGATTGGTCTCACTCACTATCTCGCTGTCGAGCTCGGACTGATCTATTTCGATTTAACCAAATTCGAGTATAACACAACCCAATTTCTCCAGATCTCCGCACCACAATATAGCTCTGATTCCGCATGACTCGTCCACAGTTTCTTATGAGTCAAGCCAATTAGTCTAAAATCGACCAAGTCATAAAATCGATTAGAACACGAACATGATCGAGTGATCTAACACAAGTCGTCATATCGAAAATGAGGTCCAGCTAGTGGGCTTGATGTGATAGTCTATTCCATAGTGGAGCCGACCACACGGAAAAGCCGGTTTATTAAAATTATCTTTGACCATTGAGTGGAGATCCGAAAGACTCCTCACTAGAGATCGAAAATAGTAAATCGAACTGATCAACCGACCAAACTCTATCGACTAAGCTCATTCGACTGAGTTAACTCCATTGATTCTAGCCAAAAAAAGCTTAGTCAACCGAGTCAGATGGCGATTAGACAAAAAGACTGCACTTGTAAAGTACAAGAAATATCCTAGTACAAATGGGGTAAAAATCTAACATCACATTTGTACTATCTCCTATAAATATGGGGAATATTACAAAGAACAAATAATATCAAACACTATTCATTATTGTTCATTTCTCTCTCTCTCACACACACTCCATTTTTTTTTAATGTGATTCATAAGACAATTGCAGATAGTGGTGTAAACGAATCGAACACGAATGAACAGAACTTGTGTTCGTGTTTAATTTGTTTGAAATTTAATTTGTTTGAAATAAGCTAGTGTTTGAAATTGTTCGTGAAGTCACTGTTCATGTTCATTTCTTAACGAACGAGCCTCACGAACGACGAGCCAGCTTGACATCCCTAATAATAATATATATATAAATAGTATATTATATTAATTATATAACTCAAAAAAAGCTTAGCCGACCGAGTCAGATGGCGATTAGACAAAAAGTCTGCACTTGTAAACTACAGGAAATACCCTAATACATATCTCCTCCAAATGGGGTAAAAATCTAATATCACATTTGTACTATCTCCTATAAATATGGGGAATATTACAAAGAACAAACAATATCAAACAATATTCATTATTGTTCATTTCTCTCTCACACACACACTCCATTTTTTTTAATGTGATTCATAAGACAATTGCAGGTAGGGGTGTAAACGAACCGAACACGAATGAACAGAACTGGTGTTCGTGTTTAATTCGTTTGAAATTTAATTTGTTTGAAATAAACTCGCGTTTGAAATTGTTCGTGAAGTCACTGTTCGTGTTTATTTCTTAACGAACGAGCCGAACACGAGTGGTTCACGAACCACTTATATTATAATTTATAAAATTTAATTTTTTTAAAATATGATAATTTTTTATATATAATTATTTTATATTTCAAACAATAATGATCCGAACACAAACGAACGCATCAATGTTGGTGTTTAGTTCGTCGCCTCAATGTTCGTGTTTAGTTCGTTTAACTAACCGAACGAAAAAAATTTGTTCACGTTCGTCTCGTTTACTTATCAAACGGGTCGAACACGAACTCATTGACGAACCGAACACAAGTTGTTCGCGAACAACAAGCTTTTTTGATAGCCCTAATTGCAAGATCAACAATAAATTTATAGGAAATAAAAAATCAAACAAGATTTACATACACACTACTCAATTATTATGTATTGTACATCTCACCTAAACTTTAATTTACACTATTCAAATACGAATGAACGCATCATTGTTCGTGTTTAATTCGTTTAACTAACCGAACAAAAAAAATATGTTCACATTCGTCTCGTCTACTTATCAAACGAATCGAACACGAACTCTTTAACAAACCGAATACGAACTCTTTGACAAACCGAAAACGGCTTTTTTGATAGCCCTAATTGCAGGATCAACAATAAATTTATAGGAAATTAAAAATAAAACAAGATTTACATACACACAACTCAATTACTATGTATTGTACATCTCACCTAAACTTTAATTTACATGTGTTTATATGCATATGATCTTTCCATGCATGAATAATATATTTTATTTTTTAAACATTAAAATAATGATATTTTTGAAATTTAATTTCAAAATTTAATTTCATTAATATCATTTTTTTACTCAAATTTGAGTTTTTTGCTATAATAAATTTGATCCCAATCGCTCATATATAAAAAAAAATGTAATGGCTGAATAGGAAATTTACATACATACCACACAATTCTCGTGTATTTACATTTCTAACATCTAAAATTTGATATTTATATTTATAATATTTATAACATTTTGTCAGCATAAACCGACGCATGAAAACATGCATTTTCATTTTTGGCAGCATAAACCGACGCATGAAAACATGCATTTTCATTCCATGTCATGAATATATGTATTTCATATTTAAAAAATTGATAATAATTATATATTTAATGCAATATTAAAAATTTGAAGGTTAAACATGTAAATTTAAAATTTTGGTGTGAATAGATAGCAATTTTGTAGATGTAAATGCCCCAAGAAAAAAAAGTCATGTGCACGATCACGTGACTATATTTAATGAGGAAAACTTTATTACAATTCCATGATAAGGATATGAATACAAGTGGTTGATGAAATTAAATATCTTACAAAAAAACTTTAAAATAGGATCAACATGAAATGCAATAATATATATATATATTATTTTTCTTTAAGACCAACTGTGTCATAGGGGATTTGAACTCCCAACCTGAGAAGTCTTATATCGTAGATGCCAACCAACAGACCAGGGTACACGCGAGCACGTGCACGCGTGTGTGTGCCTCCAATCGTGATCTGTTGGTAGAGCAGTCTCCTTGAAGGTCATAAGTCCCATCAGGTCACAAGTTTGAATCCCCATCTGACCAGTTTGTTGTTAGTGATGTCGTTCCTCGAATAATTAGACACTTGAGGGTGGTTCATGGCTCGTGTGTGTGTGTGTGTGTACACTTTTTAAATCAGAAACCATATGGCAATAACCTCTATTTGAACTCAAAAATTCACAATTCACGGCAGCTTGTAATTAAGAAAATCGAGACTCAACATGAAATAATAACATGAAAATGAAATATGAGAACTAATGAGTGATGACACTAGTTACTTTGTCACAATAGAGATTATATACTTCGAAAAAAATTACCAAACAAACTTTAGCTAAATAGGTTCATCCTTCAAGCATGTAACAAGAAACATAACTCACAAACCACAGGTTGAAGATAGTCAAATCACACACCAATTAAGGGTGAGTTTGGGGTGGTTACTATTTTTTCAAAAAGTTGCTTTCTAGAGAAGCAATTTTTCAAGAGTTGTCAGAAAGTTGTTGATGAAGAAGCGAGTGTCTATTTGGGAGATCTGTTGTGTTATTGTTGTTTTTTTTTTATGAGGAATATTTTTTTGCCCTTATAAATGTAATATATTGAAATAAGAGCAGTATTCAAAATATTCATAACTAAATAACAAAAAGATATTGTACTGCTAAAAAAACTAACAACCTCGTCCAAAACACTCTAATACATAAAAATGATAAACTATTTGAAGCAGATAACTACAATAATGAGGACAACAACGATAATCGGCAAGCCTAGAATGATGTTTGTCTTAAAATCCTAATGATCAAGTATTTAGAACAATTTCCTCTCCATCCCTGCATCTCGTCTCGATTAATCACGGTTTGAAGATACCTCTTCAGTATCATCAACCCAACGGAAGCAGTCCCAATCTGCAGGAGTCCTATTTCTAGGACAAGAATAAATATTTCTCACGGAGCTGCCTTCCCTCCTGAACTGAGACTAAACACACTTATCACCACAATAGTATAGTGAAACTTTTGAAGTGATTGATAATCTTGAGCTCATACTTTCTGTTATTATAATATAATATTGCTCTAATTAAAAAAATTTAAGTTGATACAACATTTAAGAAATTCTAAGAAAATATATTAGTCTTAAAATTAAGAATTAAAATTTATCGATGCACAAAAAAGAAAAATACAACACAGGTTGTTGTATATATTTTAAGAAGATGCATCCAAAGTAAAACATAGAGATGAAATATAAATCACCAACCACAAATAACTAGGTGATGCTACATAAGTAAGGTCGTTGCATTCACCAAATTATCAGTAATCTTATCTCTCAACTGTAATAACTCCTCAACGCCTTCTTCCTCAGAAGTGTTGTACATGTCTGTCTTGCATTTCTCTTCCTGCATCGAAGGCTTAGCTCACGCATGTAGGTAGGATCATCATCTAAGATCCTGAAATCGATATCATCTCCTGATGGATGCCTATGTATAAAGTTATGGAGCGCAGTCATTGCAAAAGTTATCTTCACATATTTTTTGAAAGAATATGTAGGCATATTTCGGAGTATGACACACTTCTTCTTACATACACCAAATGCTTTCTCGATAACATTGCATAATGAAGAGTATCTTTTGTTGAAAAATTGATTCATCTATCTAATCACTTGGCTACTGCGCTAAAAGTCTGGGAGGTGATATCTATGTTTCCTCGATCCTTTTTAGAGCACTCAAAATCGTTAGCTTGTCTATTTATATGTTGTCTTATAATTCTCTTATTCAAAAAAATCTCCCGCCCCAATTATATAAATAATTTGAAGAGGAGGGAAATCAAAAAGAAACATATATGACAATAAATAAGTAAACAAATAAAAAAAACAAGCGAAAAACTTATATACTGGTAACCCTCATGTGATGAGTCGAGAATATATGTTTGGATAGGATTAGATCAGAGTACCTTGAAACACAACATCAACGAAGAGAATCCTGACATAAGCCACCAGTAATTAGGGAATCAAAAAGAACTTTTTTGTTATGGGGTCTAGAGTCTCCCAGATTGTTCTGGGGTCTAGAGTCTCCCAGAGAAATGTATCCTTCTGGTTAATTACATCTTGGGAGACACCCATAATACTCTCGATAAAAAGAGTTTCATTTATATTATCATAAATCTAGAGAATAGGTCATCAAAAGACAGTTATTTCGCATCAGAATGCCCCAATGCTTTCAAAGTTGTGGCTAAGCTACAGAGCATAGAGTGAGCCTCTTGCATCACAAATGGTAGTAGCTTGTCGACATACATAGCCCAGAAAATAATTAAAATTATCTAGACGGGATACTCCTATAAATCAGAGCTCGCCATGTTGTCAGATCAGAGGGTGAAACATCGTATTCCAAAAGAGTTGTAGCTCATCGACAATCTTTAAAAAATATGTATTTTTTAATTGAATTAAATATTTTACATTTAAAATATTTTTTTTATTATAACGAGGTTAATTCAAGTTGAGCACAAACAAGTAAAAGCAATTCGAGTCAAACGCGAATAGAATGTTCACGAGTTGATCCAAACACGAAGCGAACAAAAATAATGGTACTTTTAAATAAGCTGAGACTAGACTCCCTCAAGCTCAATTAGCTTACATCCCTAGTTAAGAATGCATAATCTTTTTAGTAATATGTTATATTTATAATAAGAAATACACGTGCATTATTGGTCCCAAAATATTAAAATACAACTAAACAACTATAATTACTTGTCAACCATTTTATTCGGTATAAATATGAAAATTTTGTACACGTACCACTTAATTCCTATGTATTTACATATTTAACCCTTAAACTTCAAATTGCTATATCACTTTTAAAAAATTAAAATAATAATATTTCTTTTTATGTGGTATGAAAGTTTTGGTTAATATAAATGTAAAAAATAAATTTCAGCTGCTCGATACGCAAATACAAAAGAATTAGATGGTATGCATGTAAATGCCCTAAATAACCTCAGCTTGGCCGTTCACATTTTTGAGTTATTTGATTGAATATATTATAAATATTAATTTTTTTTAGTTGAAATAAAATGAAATTACTTTTTAGGATTTTGATTTCATAAAATATTATTTTTTTACATAACATAGCACCGTAGCACAAACTTAGGGTCCATTTGGCACGGCTTATTCGGTGCGGTGGCGTTTTGAAAAAACATCTGACATATTTGGGTAATCTGCATTTTGGCATCTCATACATTTTCAAAAAGCTGAAAATTGCGTTTTCACACCGCACCTATGTAGGTGCGATGGTAGCTTTCTAGCTACGGCCTGACTTTTCCAAAAAAAATAATAAAAAAAAAAATTTGTAATAGTCACCGTACTTAGCTTATCAGCAGATTATTTAATAACTGCCCCAAACAGACCCTTAAATTTACATAAATACTACATAATTCCTATATATTTATACATATAGGCCACATTCCCCATGCATTAAAAGATGCATTTCAATTTTTGGAAGTTAAAATAGCAGTATTTTTTATGCGAAATTAAAAATTAGGGTGAGAAAAATCTAAAGAGAAATATTTAGGTGTTAGATATGTAAATACATAAGAATTGGGTGGTATGCATGTAAATGTCCCTAAATTGTAAGAAAAGAAGATAAGAAACTGACATTCAAAGAATAATATATATTAAATAAATACAATTTTTTAGTGAATATAATTAAATTTTTACAAGTTTAGAGAGCTTTTAGGACAAACTTGGTGGAAGCATGAGCGGCCTTAGCAGCAGATTTGACAATAGCCCTGTGTCTGTATAGCCTGCAGCAAGAAAAAAATACATAGAGTCAATACAACAGCAACAACAAAGGCTTTTATCCCATTAAGTGAGGTCAGCTACATGAATCATTTTGTCTCCATTGTGTCCTATTGAGTGTTATATTTTCATTTAATTTTAATAAATTAAGATCATTTTTACACAATTGTCCAAGTTTTTTCAAGTCTGCCGCTAGTTTGCTGGTCAAAAGTCAAATCTAAAACATCTACTCTCCTAACAGGATCATCAGATGGTTGACATCTAATGAGATAAAGCCATCTAAGACGACTCTCTATAATCTTGTTTGCCACTAGAGCTACACCAACCCTTTTCACATATATATTCATTTCGCATTTTGTCTCTACGTGTAAAATCATGCATCCACCTAAGCGTTCTCATCTCAGTAACACTTAACTTAATTATATGTTTCTCTTTTAAATGTCGACATTCAGAAACATAAAGAATTGCAGGTCTCACCACCATCTTATAAAATTTTCCATCAAGGCTAAGCGATACATTTCTATCACACAACAGGCGAGATGCATTTCTCCACTTCAACCATTCAACTTGAGTTCTACTAATAACATTCCCATTTATATCACCATCACTTTGAAACAATAGACACAAGATATCTAAACCGTTCACTCCTTTTAATGACTACATCATCCATTGTTCCAACCGCGCCACTAGATCTATTACTACTAAAATTACATTTCATGTATTTAGTTTTAGATTTCCTTAAACGAAAGCCTTTAGAATCTAAAGTTAAATTCCAGAGTTCAAGTTTTTTCTTGTAAATGTCTAGTAAGAACATCCATAACTAAAACAAAAAGATATGGGCTTAATCCAACTAAAATAGGAAAATATTTGATCAATCCTCCTATTTGAACACATGTAATTACTCTGGTATACATATTTTTAATGACTTAAATTTAGATACAAGTCATATCAACACTTTTTTTTCTTGAACTGTCCAAAGTATATATATTGTTAACTTATTATAATCTTTTTCTAAATCAACAAAAATTATATGTAGATCCTCCTTGCACTCTCTGTAGTTATCCATCAAACCCCTCAGCAAATATATAACTTTCATAGTAGACTTGCACGGCACAAATCCAAACTAATTTTGAGAAAGTTTTGTATCATGTCTTAACCTATGTTCAATTACTCTCTCTCACGATTTTAATGTATGACACACTAACTTAATTCTTCTATAATTTGCACACTCTTGTGCATACCCTTTATTCTTAAAAATATGGACCAAAATGCTCTTCCTCCACCTCTTAAACAACTTTTTAAATTTCTAAAATAATATTAAAAAGCTTGGTAAGCCAAAAAATTCCTAAATCCTTTACACAATTCCCTAAAGAAAATCAAGTCAATGCTGAATGAGAAAATAAAAGTCAACAATAGAGTATATATGTGTAAAAATAATAATTTCTTTTACAGGTTTAGCTTATAAAGTACAAGTTAATGTGCCAAATGATAGTTTAATATGACTAAAGGAATAGAAAAAATATAGAAGATTTACATGCACACCACTAAATTCCTATGTATTTAAATATCTAATACCTAAACTTTAATTTTTACATACATGCTACATTAACCATGCATGAAAAGATGTATTTCATTTTTTTTAAAATTTCAACGGCGGTATTTCATGAGACATGAGAGATTTGAGAGGTATAAATGTAAAAAAGTAAAATTTGAATGCAAGATATGTAAATTAATCGGAATTGGGTGACATATATGCAATAATGTAAATGCAACTAAAATTATTTATTCTAGATTTTGAAAACAAAAAATCAATCATAAATATAATGTGTGCGAGAAGAATAAGGAAAAAGAAAAAATATGTAAACCATATTTAATTTTATTTTAATAATGCAGAGACTAAAATCCAATTATAAAATATGGAAAAAATGTGAAATAAAAAAATATATCAATGTATACATACATACATCACTATATCTGCGTGTGTGTGTGTGTGTGTGGTGACAAATGTTGAAATTATTTATTTATTATTGCCATTTTGCTTTCCAATTTAACCAATTTTTTATATCTGAATAAAATTGTATTGTAAATATATTGTTTCAACACAAATCATAATGAAAATCTATTAAGTGCAAACTAAAAAATATGAGAATTAGAACCCAAATCATAATGAAATAGTTCAATAAATTCAAAGAAATTGTCGAGAAATTTAAGGATACAAAAACAAGTAATTGCAATTATTCATTACAAATATAATCCCAATTGTATCCCATTTGAATAAAATCAATAGTAGCAAGTAAATCACTATCTTTACAGTAAATTAAGGAAAGTTACATACCACCAAATTCCTATGTATTTATATATATCCAACACCTAAACTTTACTTTTTACATTTATACAACATAAATCTTTTATATGACATTAAAAATATTACTATTTAAACTTTTAAAAGGTGAAACACACATTTTTCATACGAGTATGGAGCCAAAATAGTCCCCAAACTATTTACATGGGGCCGTTTTAGTCTTAGAGTTTATAGAAGTGTCAAAATAGTCACCGAATTCTTTAACTTGGTTGAAATATTCCCCATGGAGGACCATTAGAGCTCGATTTTAAAGACAAAGACTATTTTGGCATTTCTATAAACTCCAAGACTAAAACGGCCTCATGTAAATATCAGAGACTATTTTGACACTTTACTCCTTTTCATACATATGTATGGTGCCATATATGTAAAAATTGAAGTTTTGGTGTTAGATATGTAAATGCATTAAAAAAAGTGATCTTTATTTAAATCTCAATAAATATAAATAAATTCAGACCTCACATTGATAAAAGAAGAAGACTCCACTTAAAATTATCACATTTGCACAGCACTTAGAAAATATTGCACTTCCAATTTGCACGTAAAACAATGAAATTTTGAAGGAGAATTTTTATTGAATCCATGCTATCCACTGGGCAATCTAATTATAAACTCCTCATGGGTTAGCTATATGGTTGGCAGAAGATTAGTCCAATTAGATAATCTTAAAAATGAACTTTGATTTTATATATAACTGTTGACCTCATTTTTAGTGAGGTCTTAGTCTCCTACTCTTAGAACCTAGGATCTAGCTTTAGGAGTTCTTATTGACCATCCTAGTGGACTAGCGATGGAGCCCACCTCCCGTAGAACTTCAAGCCACTTCTTGACTCATTTTTGTGAAGAACTCTCATGAGTGGTTCCAAGCACTCAACTTTTAGGTGCAAGTGCTCAGGACCAACATGTAGAGGGCCCGAAATTGAGTTCCTATAGGATCAACAGCCTTAGGTGAACCCTTTGTGACTCGATTACTCGCGAACGCCGCTTTTCACGCAATCACTGCACTACACACGATTTTGACTTGAATCGACTCACCCGTCGGCGAACTCGTCCGGATGACCCCGGATGACGAAACAGACCGCACCGATGCGTCCAGGATGTTGAATTTAGCTAGGAAGGACACCCATATTGTCAGGGTTACGCGCACGCACAGTTTGCACGGAAATCGATGCATTTTTCTCCTTTAACGGGATGCGGGCCCGGACTCAACCCAAGTTTGACTCGGGTTCGATTCAGGCTGGACTCGGGCTGAGCACGGGCTAGGCACCAGCTCACCTGAATTTGAAATTCAAATTTCAAAATTAAATTAATTATTTAAATTCTTCCTTGATTAAAATTAATTATTTTCACTTAATCCTCCCTAGATTTGGAAATCAATCAATTCCCCGCCAAGGTAACGGCTCCTAACCCCGCTCGAATTCT